CGTGGCCTGGCTCCCCAGCACCCACGAGCCTTCGCCATAGAGCCTTTTCCCTTCCAACAAGATGCTGCATCTTCCTGGGAGGAAGGATGCTCAGCCCCTGTGCTGAACCCCAACCCCGACTCATGTCACTCCAGGGAGGGGCAGCTCCCGGACAGAGAGCCGCTCCGATCCCCAAAGGATGCGTGTCGTGTCGTGTGGCATTCTGCACACTTGCAGCAGGGACAGGAGGGGTGTAGGTAAGCCTCTGCCAGGAAGGAGAGAGTCTGAGTCAGATCACAGTATTTGTTCCAGTGCTGGGCAGAAGGGTCACTGGGCCAATCACTGCTTGCACTTGAGGGGCTCTGTGCTGGGATGCGGGCAGTGAAGCACCCAAGGGTCCATGGTGGCTGCTGATCACAGAGACACGGAGGACATTTGAGGGTGGTGGCCTGGCAGGCAGGGCCAAAGGAGGCTGAGGTCAGCATCGGGCAGGCACAGGACGAAAGGCAGTCAGAGCTGCTCACACTCCTCCCCCCCAGCACCAGGACCCACACTGGGGATTCCTCCTGGAGCACTGCAGGACCGTGGAGAGATGGGTCCCCGCCTGGAGCACCCCAGAATGGTGGGGGCACATATCCCCGCCTGGGACACCCCAGCATGGTGGGGTGGGGGGACGGATCCCTGTCTGGGACACCCCAGGACAGTGGGGGGATGGATCCCCACCTGGGGCACCCCAGGATGGTGGGGGGATGGATCCCCATCTGGAGCACCCCAGAATGGTGGGGGGATGGATCCCTGCCTGGGGGACCCCAGAACGGTTGGGTGGGGGGATGGATCCCCGCCTGGAGCACCCCAGAACGGTGGGGGGATGGATCCCCACCTGGAGCACCCCAGAACGGTGGGGTGGGGGGATGGATCCCCGCCTGGGGCACCCCAGGACGGTGGGGTGGGGGGATGAATCCCCGCCTGGGGCACCCCAGAACGGTGGGGTGGGGGGATGGATCCCCGCCTGGGGTACCCCAGAATGGTGGGGTGGGGGAATGGATCCCTGCCTGGGGCACCCCAGAATGGGGGGATGGATCCCCGCCTGGGGCACCCCAGGACGGTGGGGTGGGGGGATGGATCCCCGCCTGGGGCACCCCAGGACGGTGGGGTGGGGGGATGAATCCCCGCCTGGAGCACCCCAAGACTGTGGGGCATAAATTCACCTACTCCAGCTGGCAAAGACTGTCTGGGCATAAAGCCTGCATTTATGTCCAAAAGACTTTTTTTTAAACTTAAACTGGAGAAATTCAAGATAAAAGTAAATGTTAGGAGAAACTGTTCTGTGTACAGCCTCATAAATCAAAATCGGTGTTTGCTCATCAACAATGTGGTTTTTATTAAAAACCACCAAGAAAATGGAGTCTGTCTTCCCAAACCATAGACCCCAGACAGATTCTCCCCCTCAAAACTGTGGAGCTACGGGGTCCTCCTTGCTGGAGTCACACCCAGCACACCGCAGAGCTGGTACGTTCTTCAGTATGAGCAGAAAGAAAGGTGCTGTCACGTCAGGGACCCTCAGCCTCCTTTAATGCCAGGTTGGAAGTGCGCACCCATCCCGCCTGAGAACAACCCTTCCTTTGGGAACATTCTCAGCAGGAACGACAGGATGTGAGGGCTGTAATTATGCCGTGTCGGTAAACACGGTGATGAGCTAGCTCATCCTCACTGTGCTCCAGAAAGCGGTTATTTCACTGTCTAACTTCTAATCTTATGTAAAAAAGCAAAAACAAAAACATCCCCCATAATCCCACTAACCCCGCAAAATAACCACACTGACATTTATGTCCACATATTCCAGACCATTTTGGAACAATCCCAACTTTTGGAACAAAAGAGAACCTTACTGCGAACACAGCTTTGTGACCTGCCGTTAACACTCCAGACTTTATAAAGGCCCTTTGAGCCGCGTGAGCACCATTCCCACCGGCTTGCAAGGAGCCGCGAGGAGCCGCCAGAGCTCTGCCTCTGCAGGAAGACAAAAGGGGCCCGCAGGCCAGCACCAGGTGGCCGCTCCCCCCCTCCCCACGAAACCAGGTGAGAGCAGGTAGACCGCGGGCGGGGGACCAGGAGCGGCCGTGGGGAGAGGCTCAGCACGGCCCCCCCTCAGAGCGGCCACTGGGGAAGGTGAAGGTCAGATCAGGAAGTTTGGGACAGCTCCTCTGCCAGCCAGGAGCTGTTCATACATCTTGGGGGGATTTTGTGAGAAAAGGTAGGCAATGTCTTCCTCCTAATAATCACATACGTTGACAAAAGGAAACGAAAACACTAGTAGTTTGTGGAATAGTCTTGCAAATGAGCAGGCCAACCCAGCACTTAGGAGGTCTTGGTTTTAACTTCTCGTGTGCATGTAACATGGATATGCTCCTTCTACTGGACAAAATGGTGATTTCCTCCATGATGGAACCTTCCCCATCCCTGTTTTGGAAGCAGGAGGTAGACAGATGCGTCGTGCCGTCCAGGATGGGTAAGCTGCCCGTGAGCCCGACCTTGCCAGCCCATCATCCGAGAGCCTTGAGCTTAAGCAAACAGACAATGAGCTGCCATTTAAGTGATAACACGATTATAGCCAAATAGCTCACAAGGTCCACCAGTATGAATACAGGTTTTGCCTCAATACTAAATGGCCAAATGCACCCATATTTTTTAAGCTCCTGGAATTATTTTGTGTTTGTGTCTTTCTTTGTTGTCAGGTTTAACTTTCTGTTAACAGCACCCTCTCCTTGCCTGGTATATTAGAGAAGCACTCAATAAATATTCATTGAAGGGCACCTGGGTGGCTCAGTCAGTTAAGCATCTGACTCTTGGTTTCAGCTCAGGTCATGATTTTGGGGTCCTGGGATCACATCAGGCTCCAAGCTCAGCAGGGAATCTGCTCCAGATTCTCTCCTTCTGCCCCGCCCTCACTCAAGCACACGTGCACTCGCTCTCTCTCTCAAATGAATAAATAAATCTTTAAAAAATAAATAAATATTCATTGAGCAAATAAATAAACAAAAATAGTCAAGCTCATTAAAAGTGTCAGGAGAGGGCGCCTGGGTGGCTCAGTTGGTTAAGCGACTGCCTTCGGCTCAGGTCATGGTCCTGGAGTCCCGGGATCGAGTCCCGCATCGGGCTCCCTGCTCAGCAGGGAGTCTGCTTCTCCCTCTGACCCTCTTCCCTCTCATGCTCTCTGTCTCTCATTCTCTCTCTCAAATAAATAAACAAAATCTTTAAAAAAAAAAAAAAAAAACTGTCAGAGCAGGAATTCTCCAAGTCTGGACCATTACCTCAGTGCACTGACTATAGAGTTAACTGGCTCCTTGTGACAGCATTTTGGGGGCTCCCACCTGATTCTGGCTGTTTCTCAGATGGCTGATTTTCTGACAGGACAGCATTACTACATCATTATCTTTGTTTAGCTCTGAGCCTCCCTTTCCTGCTCCAGAAGCACATTTTCTAGTACCAGGAACCGCGATTTCCATTTCTAAACTTGCCTAAAATGTTTTGAAGACTGTGACCCCCATTCTCAACCCTGCCTAAAACAGAGGTTCCCAAATAGACTCTCTTCCCAGAGGTCTTGGCTCAGCAGGTCTGGGGAGGGCTCAGCTTCCCCGAGACCACAGTTACTTTCCAGGTTTATGACCTCCGGGCCTCAACAACAACTGTGCAAACACAGAGGGTTTATCTGGTGTCAGGATAATGGAAGTAACCCAAAACGCTACAGTAACATTATCATCCCTGGCATCACCTTCATCACCAGTCCCAAAGCCAGACTTGACTCCTGACAAATGTTTCAGGCTTTTCGTTTTTCTTCAACAAATTATTTCAGAGACTCTCGAGCATGCCCGGCACACACACAACTATGGCCACTCGGCCTCAGGGGCGCCCCCCCAGTCCTAGGGGCACCGGTGCAGACAGACAATGAAAGGTGTCTCCACATCTCAGGAGCAGGAAATCCCTAACAGGTTTGTAAAAACAAAGTTCAGTCAGTGGTCAGAACGCACTCTTTGTTCCCTCTGAGAAGGAGCAATATGCAAGGATATAATTCTTCTGCTAAAAATGTTCTCAAACTGAAAATAGCTGTTTGCATGATCCACACAACCCATAATTCTAACCCTGAAGGTGGAGTCACGGGCTTCGTGGGGATCCTTCTCCACTCCATTAAACACTTGATGATAAACGTACTTGCTCAGGACCCCACTACTGGCTTGTTGGCTTCACTGGGCTGCAAACCACAATCCCCACCCCCTGCTAACACGCCATTTCTGGGTCCTCTCTCCCCACCCGCTATGTAAACTGCTGTCAGGGTGCCCTCACCTCCTGTCCCTGGGGTGTGGTCCAGGGGCAGCAACCGGGGAGACTGTCAGAAATGCAAATTACAGCCCACCCTACATGTCCTGGGCAGACACCTGTGTCTCGACAAGCCCCCCAGCGGTGAGTGGCCCTTAGCAGCTGACCTTGAAAGGGGCTGATGTGCTCATCATGTAGCAAATTCCTCAATCTGAGGACCTGTTAGGTGCTGCTCCTTCTGACTGGACCTTTTCTAACGCTATCAATGAGCACTCTCCAGGCCCCCCCTTCCTCAGTGAGTATTACCTCCATGCCCATCTCAGATATGACTCTCTAGGAAAATTTAAAGGAAGGTGGTAAAAAAAAATAAGCTTCCCAAATACTCACCTCTCAAAATGCCTGACTGGTGCTGTGTTCGGTACATACCTTCAGCTCATCTCTGACCAGAAGGTGCCCACACGCGCCCCAGGAGCAACAGCTCCCCCACGCACCTGCAGGCTGCACAGCCCTGGGCAGCCCGAGCATTTGGGAAGAACATCATCTGCCAGCAAGACGTCAGCGACAACTGTCCTGGACATGGGAGCCCGTGTGAATGTTCCAGCACCCGGCTCACGCCAAGCAGCGTGGACAGTGGCAAACAGCACCTGTGTTCAGGGTATCTGCTACACAGAGGAAAACGGATCAAGTAAAGCAACAGCCGACATTACCAGAGTGACTTCTCCACAATCTTGGTCCTGAAAACCTCCTCCCGGTCCAAGTTCACAGTGCAGTAGCAATCTCGCATCTTGTTTGGCCCCGGGTACGTGGGAAGATTTTTGGCTTCACCTAAAAATCAAATGTAAATATACCATCAACTTAGCATAGAATTATTTCGTTCCCTTGCTAATCACAAGCACATTTCCAAATAATCAATTTATTTCATAGCAATGCACCTGCTTTCTCTTTTGTACACTCATTAGCTCTTTATGTCTTTCTTGCTACCACAAGTCAGTGTGATGTTAGAATGCAAGGTAACATACACATAACCTCCAAAAAAATTGATAAAAGTAGGAATCCATTAGCCTACGAATTAGGATTTTATTCACATTAGCCCCCTTAATTTTTTTTAATGTGTAAATTATGTAAGATACATATAACTTAAAATGTATCATCTTAACCACCTTTGAGTATAGAGCTCAGTAGTCTTAAGTATATTTACACTGTTGTGCAACCAATCTCTGTAACTTTTTCATCTTGCAAAACTGAAACTGCACCCACTAAACACGTCCCCATTCCCCTCCCCCAGCACCTACCCTTCCACTTTGTGTCTGTGAATCCGGCTGCTCTAGGTAATTCACGAAGTGGGATCATTCAGTACTTGCCCTTCTGTGACTGCCTTATTTCACTCAGCACAATGCCCTCAAGGTTCATGCATGTTGTAGCAAGTGTCAGGATTTCCTTCCTTGTTAAGGCTAATTGCTATTTCATTGTATGGATGGACCACATTTTGCTTATCCATTCATTCCCTGGGTTGCTTTTTTATTCTGAATTTGATTTGACATTATTAGGTCAAAGTTGGGGCAATAATTAAGGAGGACTCTTTTTTATTGACAAAACTCTGGACTGCAGCTGTTTATTTTTTTAAAGATTTTATTTATTTGAGATAGAGAGAATGAGCACACAAGCGGGGGCGGGGGGAGAAGAAGCAGGCTCCCCGCTGAGCAGGGAGCCTAGCCTGCTCGATCCCAGGACCCTGGGATCATGACCTGAGCCGGAGGCAGACATACAATGACTGAGCCATCTGGGCACCCCTCCAGCTGTTTAAATACAGAGCAATTAGCCAGTTAGAAGAAAGTCCCGAGGGGAGACCCGCTGTAGGTCAAGTGTCCCCCTCCCACGGCCCCTCCTCCACAGGCAAGGAGAAACCTTCAGGCAGCAGCATGCCCAGCCGGCCCTGCAGAAACTCCTCGACTCCTCGTGGGACCCTGGGTCTGCCTAGAGATCATTATCAACACCGCAATCCAGCGTCCTCTCCTGGAAGCTCACAACTAGCCTGAACAGCAAGTCGACAGCCCCATTCACGGGCAGCTTGGGACACGGACGCCCAGGTGACGTCTCCTCTGAGGAAGAAAAGCCTCAGACATACTCTTGCCTCCCAGAGGCCTTCCCTGTCTCCGGGTCTTCCGGGGTGCCCGCAGGCAGCCGGCCCAGCACTGGGAAGACAGGGCAGTTCCGAGAGCCCAGACGGTGCCAACAACCCTCCAGACACAGCCAGTAACACCACAAGGCACCAAACTGCCTCTTTCTTGTCAAAACTGCAAAAGCAACAGAAACCAACCCGAACCAGAGCACGAGCTCCTCAGAACTCAGCACCAAAGCCGCCCAGGGCACACACCCTCCTCTGCACAACTCCCAACAAAAACAGCCGTTCTAACTCACTTGGAGGAAACCAGCTCATTTAAAAGATGCCAGTTTGCAAATGGGCCTGCCAGAGCCTCCAAGAGGGCAGAGACGAACTCATTTGTTTGAAGCTTTCTTGACCTTTCACTTAATGTCGTTACGGAGCCCCCACGCAACGGGGGTCTGTATTCACCTTATTTCTGACCAGCGTGTCCCGTCAGGATTTCTAAGAGCACCAGTTGTAATTAGCGCACGTGGTCCCTTCCTGCACAGACAGAACATGAGACCTGATTCTCCAGGCCTCAGTTTCCCCCACTGTAAGAGCGCGAGAACACACGAGCTCTCCAAGGCTCCTCCAGCTCCAAGAAGTTTTAATTTAAAAAATTCCAGGGGTTTTTCTTTTGGGAATCATCAATGGCTCTTAGAGGGTAAAGAAAGAGAAACAGCAATGTTTTCTCGTAGAGCCACAATATTATAATGCTCCAAACACACCATGTCTACATGAGTCGAGCACGTGACAACATGGCCAATCTGGTAAGAGGCACGTGAATCTGAGCCAAGCTTCAAGTCAGCTGTAAGACTTCCGGCAGACGGGAAGGGTCAGTGCACAAGCATGCAGGGTGTGTGAGTGTGTGGCCATATTCCGCAGGCGCCAGAGGGTACGAGGTCCGCGGGCGTCTCCAGAGACGCGGCAAGAGGAGCAGACACAGGGCTCCTTCCGCCGAGCTGACCCGACGAGGCAGTCCCCTCACACACGCCAGGCCCAAAACAGGCACTTTCTGTCTTCCGGTTCTGGTTTGGGAACTGTCGCTTTCACAGCATTCACAAATCATTAACCTTAAAACCAGCCTGACATTGCGGACTTCCCAGCTGATACCTTTATGTTGGGAATCAGGGCTTACCATGCTTCCCTTTGGAATTTTTTTTTTTTTTTACAGTAAATGAGATATTTAGTTCCAAGTTCCTGTGTTTCTTAAAAGGAGAAAAGAAACTTGTTTGAAAGTCTCATGGGAGATGATCGTTGGTAGAAAATACAGAACTGGGATTTTGTTCCTGTTTATTCTCCAAAGAACCTCAGAACACAAGCAACAGTCGCTGACATTCCTCAAGGTGGGCCCTGGGAGGGGAGAAGGGAAAGATGAGCCTGAACAGGAGACACCTGACCGGTATGTAAACACACACTGAGCCACATTGCCCCCACGCCCTGCCGGCCCCAGGCGGGGGCCGCGAGGACAGCGCCACAGAGAGCAATGGGCTGACCGGAGCTGACGCTAACAAGCCACTCGGACCAGGAGGTCTGGGAGCAGCAGGCGGCACCCCAGCCGTGTCCTCTGCCCAGGGTCCTTACTGTTGGGCGCCGATCTGGACTAACCAGGCTGAGAATGAGGAGTTTCCCCGAGTCTCTGCTTGCTTGGAGCCCCGCCGCAGACTGGGGTGGGCCTCTCAGCTCTCGAGTGTCCCGCCCTGACCATATTCAGAAGATATCACCACTCCTTCCACGCTGACTACTTAGCCCAAAGGCTAGAGGTCATTTCCCGGCCCGGCTGCGTATTACGGTGTCTTTCTGTCCCTGCGGAAAAACATGTCCCTCTTCCCAGCACGTGGAGACATTTACATAGGAAATAAGGCTGTCCCAGTATACAGCAGGTGCTGAATTATGTGTTGAGTGAACGGATGAATAAGCGGCCACCAGGTAACAGAAAAGTAATCCTTGGTTTCATTCTAAGAACCAAATTAGGATCATTTTCTTGCCTCTTTCTCCTACTGACCATGCCTAGAACATATACTATGTGCCAACCAGATCTGATGAAGACAACACATCTGGAACCTGGTTCTATCTCCAAACACCTAATCTGCTAACAGAAGTAAAAGGCAGCCCTTAAAGAACAGTAAACAAAAGACACTGAATGAACAAACTGGTTCTTACATCCAGGAACCAAGCCCTGGGTAAGGAAGACAGAGGTTGTGACCTGAAAGCGTCATTGCTCCCGAACCACCACCGGTAATGATTCTTGTACCAGAAAAGCCGAACCCTCATCCCCTGGGCCTTCCGCTCAACCAGAAAAAGAGAAGACCCACATGTGGACGCCCACGCCTCGTTGCCACTGGGGGGGGGGAGGGCAGCGTCCAGCCTGATAAAGAAGCCTCCGCCCAGTCTGGACGGCCTCAAGGGTGCCAAGGAAGAAGGCCGTCCGCACCTGAAAAGGGCTGTTGGAGGCCATGAACCCCGACGCCCTAGGAGTGACGCTGGTGACCATGTTCAGCTGCGTCACCTCCAAGGGGTCTGATCTTGTTTGCCGCCCTCCAGCACCCAGCACAGAGGCTGGTATGCCCTCAAGATCCCCAGGAAGAGAAGGGTGGAGGAAGGAGGGAAGGAGCATCAGAGAGAAGCATGTAGACTGACGGCTCTACTAACTAAGAACCTTCCTTCCAGCTGTGAGCCTCGGGGTTCCCCCTCCACGTCTCAGATCCACCACAGCCCCACGGCGCTAGTGGACCCTCCCCAGCCCAGTGGCCTCCACTTGTGGAAGGGGGACATTTTGGGAGAATTTAGGCACGTCACTCTGGTTCAGAATACTTAAATGGGCCCAGATTCTGGTAGCCAGCATAGCTCATTATAACATAAGAGTCTATTTCCCCAAAAAGATCAATTTCATGACTAAAATATTCTATTTCCCTGAATATATATTTTTGAATACCTTGATATTAAATAAAACAAAACTCCATAAAAACAGACAAAACTGGATTTCTAAATCAAGTTATGAGCAGCCTCCCCTACTGCACACTGATTTAGTCTGAAAACTCCATGCTGATCTGCCTGGACCCCACAGCATCGGACACCTGCATCCTCTGCCTCCGGGGATCGTGATCCAGGAAGAACTACTTAATACACATTTCAGATTTCCTCCAAGAGGTATTAGGGGCAGGTAAAAGACAAGCATAAAATAAGGCTGTTCACAGGGTGCCTGGCTGGCGCAGTTGGTTGAGCGTCCAACTCTTGGTTTCGGCTCAGGTCATGATCTCAGGGTCGTGGGATTGAGCCCCAGGTCAGGCTCCGTGCTCAGCAGGAAGTCTGCTTGAGGATTCTCTCTCTCCCTCTGCTTCTTGTGCGTACCACCCCCCCCAAAAGAAAATCCTTAAGAAAATGAGGCTGTTCACATGGAAATTAGGAGTTCAAAATATAATGAAAAGAAGGAAAATTCTATCTATCCCGCCCCAACATGTGTGACTCAGTGATCAGTTGAGCTCCGAGTTCCCTGGGAGCTAAGGCACGAATGGAAATATGGCAGAAGGCACACTTCTCAGAATTTACTTGGAAAGGAAGCGCACCAATCCCCCAGGGGAAACACTGTTCTAGAGCAACCCTCTGCTAGCCTCACACAGGAGGCAGGAAATGATGGGCTGGGCAGGCATCTGTGTTCGTTCTCTGAGGTGCAAAAACATGC